TAGTTCAGTGTTCATGAATCGGCGCACCACGCAAAATTCACGAGGCTGTAATGATCTGCAAATACAAGAGCCAAGCAACAAGACATCCTTGGACCAGTCACGTCGCAAGGACATCAAAAGTATGGCAAACCCACTTGCATACTCACGGGGTTTGCGCAATCAGCCTACTCCGGCGCAACAGCCAACCACCTGCATATCAACAAGAGAAGAAGTGCCTCACAGGTACTGCATGGTAGACAATGGTAGAAGAAGGAAAAGCGATAAAGCAAATAACAGTCAGTCTTTGATTTACCATCAACTACAACATCCAACTAGCCAACCCCGTACCTGAAGCCTTATAAAGCAGATTTGTGTTCGGACTCAAGTTTTAATAAATCATACTGCCGAACCAAAGCAAAGTAGCAACATGACTGCAGTGCAATAATTGCGCCCGCGATACTACTCACCAAGCCAGCTCTCACTCCGACGATGGTTTCAAGCCAATGCTCCCGAAAATCACAATAATGATGAGCGCAGCAATTGCTGTGAGAATTGAGCCCTTGTAAAGCGCTACTGCTTTCGGATTCCTGTCAATAAACGCAGCAACTCTGGCAAGAGTGGAGCGTTTGATGTTGCTGTTGCTGAGCGTTTTCTCGATCTTCTGGTTGTTCTTGAGAGATTTCTGGAGGTTCTTGTCGCTGAGCATCTTCTTCATGTTCTTGTCGCTGAGCACTTTTTCCAGATTCTTGTCGCTAAGTGTTTGGTCGATGGTCTTCCTACTGAGCACTTTTTCAATGTTCTTGTTGCTGCTGACAGTTTTCCCAAAGTTCTGAGCGTTTAAGGTTGCTGAGTTCGCTTTGAAAACGCCCTTCAGTCTTTCCGTGATTCCTCGCTCTTCACCTGAGAACTTGACGGTGTCAGTTGACTCTGGCTTCGCGAGGACATCGCTTCTCTGGAGGTAACTAGTGTTGCCAACAAGATTTTTGCTGGAACTGACCTCGGACTCATGGACTTGAGCTGCGTCTGCCATCTTGGTACAACACACCACAAGTGTAGCTACCGCCAATACCGAAAACGTCTGCCTCATGAAAACGGACGAGTAGGAAAATCAATTCGGGAACGCTTGAGTGGTAAAGCGTGGTTTTTTCGGAGTGAGAGGTTTAAGTACGCTTTTTGTAGCACCACGAGTCCGATTGTAGTCGAGACGGAATCCATTCAGATTGTAACGGCAAATATAACCCATTTCCGTGCCCATCTGAGTCTTGCTGATATGCTGAAACAAAAATGCGACTTTTAAACGGATTCAACCCCAAAAAAGCCTTAAAACCGGCAAGTTGAGTATTTTGTCGTCATACTAATCCTAAACGTAAACCATATGCGAGTAACGAAGGCTGCAGGGTTAAGTAGCAATATGCGGTCTGGCTTGCCAACAATTATCCGGATATGCACGCAGTTGAAGGGAATTAATGCACTCAAGCGAAATGGAGGATCTTTCTGAGGAGCAATAATGATATTGATCTGTACAAGCTGGTTAGCACTGTCGGAGGAAACAAGATGATAAGCATTATAAACATTATGCACCCTTCCCTTATAGAAACCGCATACCCTGGAATACACATGCTACTATAATAGAATGTAGAGTTCTGTATCATTATAAAAAAAAAATACGTTTACGAAAACTCTACAATCTGCATCGGCAATAATCGCAACGAAGTATTAATAGGCCGTTGGACTAACTACCCCACTGAATCAGCATAATATGCTTATTATGCCGACTAGGCCTTTGCTACTAATAGTAGTATTTCTACTAGAAGCCTTGGGGTGATTCGCGAAGACTAAATGCACTATTATTTATCGATTCTTTCTGAATATCTAGCTCCTCCAACTAGGCTTTCACTGAAGTTTGACGATCAGTTTGCCGATGTTCTTGCGCGCGTACATGTAATCGATGGCCTCCGGGATGCTTTCCAATCCACGGAACTCGGTCGAGTCCACTCCCGGGTTCAGCTTCCCTTCAGCCATCAGCTTCAGCAGTCGCTCAATATGAGACGGGATGAACTCGTCGTGGTTGTGCAGGAGGAACCCACGCACACTGGCCGATTTCATGAGTAGTTTCGGGTTCAGCTGGTTCACCAGCATCGGCTCAGCCGACTTGTCGCCGTGGTAGCCCGAGATAAAGCCAAACACAATCACTCTTGCATGCTTGGCCAAATTGTCCGTCACAGCCTTGAACATGTCGCCACCGACGGTCTCAAACACGAGATCGACACCGTTAGGATACTCCTTCTTCAGCACGGTATCCACGTCTTCCTTCGTGTAGTTAATCACACGGTCGCAGCCCAGTTTCTTCAAGTGTTCCACCTTGGCGTCCGAGCTGCACGTGCCGATCACGTGGTTACCAGCAAGTTTGGCCAGCTGGACCACATACTGACCGGTGCCTCCTGCTGCAGCCGATACAAACACCGTTTCATTGGTTTTCATCTCTCCGATCTGCTCCAGGGCCACAGACGCCGAGATGCCTCCCACCGTCATGGTCACTACAGCGGGGGACAGTTCCGGTGTCTTGATGAGGTTGGCTGAGGGCACCTCCACGTACTCGGCGAAAGCTCCGAACTTCTGGTAAGCGACAGCATCGCCCACCTTAACGTTGGTGACGCCTTCACCGATGGCGTGTACGATGCCGGCAGCTTCGAGACCGCAGCCGAA